ATCCCAGGTAGCATTAGGGAGACGCCTTAAAGAGGACCCTTCTGAACCCTACTTGTGGCTCTCTTACAAAGGGACCTTATTTTGGGAGGGTCTATATCCCCAAGGGTCGCCCTAATCAAGGCCCTAATCCTAACCCTAAACCCTAAACCCTAAACCCTAATCATTGAGAGGGTCTATATCCCCAAGGGTCCCCCTAATCCGAACTCCCACAGAAAAAAGCTCCTAGGGCTCCTGCAGAGTCCTAGGGCCTTTGGGGTTTAGGGGGTTTAGGGGTTTAGGGTTTGGGGGTTTGGGGTTTAGGGGTTTAGGGCTTAGGGCTTAGGGTTTGGAGTTTGGGGTCTTTCCTGCGGGGCTGTAATCCACAATCCCTGTCCTAGCAAGCTGGGAAGCAATAGCCCTAAGCCCCAAACCCAAAAGCCCTTAACTCAAAGCCCGGCCCTCAAACCCCAAACCCTGCAGCCCTAGACCCACAAACCCTAAAGCCTATACTACAAACCCTGAACCCTAAACCCTAAACCCTGAACCCCACTGCAGGTGATGGCATCGAATTGTCTCCTCGCTGCGCTTCAGCATTCAGGGCTCCGTACGGACGTACAAAAAAAGAGGGTTTAGAGTCTTTTAGTGTTTAGGGTTGTTTAGGGTTGTTCAGGGTTTTTAGGCTTTCTGGGAGGCACTCCAGAGAGAGAGAGGGGCCTCGTTCAGAAAGGGTTTTAATAGGGGTTGTTCAAAATCAAAATAGGATTTCAGACCCTGGGGTTTCGGATCTTGGGGTTTAGGATTTCAGACCCTGGGGTTTAGGATTTCAGACCCTGGGGTTTAGGATTTCAGACCCTGGGGTTTAGGGTGTCAGACCCTGGGGGCTGAAGAATCAGCACTAGGACTCCTCACAAAAAAAATCCTCCTCGACTCAGCTCCCTACTATGGCAACTCTGGAGACCGTTGAGCCCTCCCGGCCTTCCTTCACGCTACCCTAGGCCCTAAACCCTAAAACCCTAAAGCCCTAAAACCCTAAACCCTCAAGCCTAAACCCTTTCTTTGGAGCAGAGCCTCCCGCTGAGGATTCCGGACGAAGAAGTCCTCTTCCAGGCGAGTTTGGGAGGAAACCCCAGCGCTCAGATTACCTGTTGCTCGGCTCCCTAAAATCCACAGTCCTCTGGACCCCCCCAACCCCAAACCCCCTAGACCCAAAACCCTAAACCCTAGACCCTCCCCCCCAAATCCAGTTTAGGGGTTTAGGGCTCTAGGCTTTCCCTGAGCCCTGCACCTCCGGTCGAAGCTCAGGTTCACCTGCTGCTGGGCCGCCCCCTTCTCTGAGTGCTCTCTACGGGAAGGTGCCCTGCAAGAAGTTGCCAGGCCCCAGCCTGCTTTGCCGAATCTGAAAGAGGGTTTTAGGGTTTAGGGTTTAGGGTGCCCAGGTTACAGGTTTATAGTTCCTACAGAACTCTACTAGAATGCACCACAACTCTAACACCTAAACCCTAAACCCAAGTCCTAAGTGTTAGGGCCGCCCTAGCATTTTTTTAGGCGTTTCGGGTCCTACTGAGTGCTGCATCCTGGCATCGTGTTCAGAAGGCCTCTTGGGTTGAGGGTAGGGCTTAGGGATGAGTGTTAAGGGCCGTAAGCATGGAGGCAGCAAAGATGATGGAAAGCAAGCCTGAGCATCTGCATAGCTAGTTCATGATGAGTACTACCGCCGGCAACAGTCTACCGCCGGCAACAGTCTTGTTGATGCTACTGCCGTCTTCGTTTTCAGGACTGAAAGCTAGGCACTGCTGATGTGCCTTGCAGTGATTCTCTGCTCTAGATTTTTCTTGTAACGTTGAATGCGTCTCAGAGTGTAGCCTCTTCCACACCCTAAGCGGTAGTGTAAGCTTGATGCTCTTGTTAGCTGGGCACCGGCCTGTCGCTAAGACGTGTCACAGTCACGAGACATTTAGCAAGCGCTTCGAGAAGGGACAGTGACAAGGAAAACAGCGCGCACTCGCTGAGGCAGAGTTTCCCATGGTACCGGGTGTCATAGTGTATGGCAGTGTATGGTTGATATAGGAAGTCTGTAGGCTTTTGGAGTGACCCGTTCATGCGCGTTTTGATGCAGATCTGGCGCCAGGCTTTCTCAGACACAGTGATCTTGGTGTTGCTATGCAGCAAAGTTTGAACTGGCGACCTGGTTATCGTCCTCGGTGTGAGAGAGAGAAAAAGACCTTGAGGGAGAGAGAGAGAGAGAGCCCTATGATCCGGGGGCCTTACTCGCCCCTAAGACCCGGCGGAAGAAGAAGAGACAGAGAGACAGACAGACTAATTTACGACGGCCAGTCTAACAGGCACATCCGTACAGTGAATTTGCGAGGCAGAGGGGGAGCAACCACAGCTACTTTGGCCTTGATAGTCTTGCAAAGCCGAGTCGTAGCAGTTTTGGTGTGGAATGTTGTAGTGATAAAAATCACCTAGTGGCCTGGCTTTCTTGCACTGCAGAGGGCAGTAGGCCCGCACATTGACGATGGAAAAAGCACACATGACTAGCTTTCAATCAGCAGGCATCTACCAAAACAGTCATATTTGCGATAGCTTTGATGTGAGTTGAGTGAAATCATCCTGCCCCTTAGACTTCGGAGGACGTGTCCTCCGAGACGGACGCCTGGGACCCCAGTGTCTGGGAAGCGGACTTGCAGGGGGCAGTGTCCCCTCGGGGTTCCTTAGTATTCCTCCTAGATCCGATTATGGGTTTAGGGTCTGGGGTTTAGGGCCCCTGTATTCTCCGACCCAGGTTTCAACAAGAAGGATTCGAACGGGCCAGACTGCCTAGCATGTTTTGCTCGCTATGTAAGTCCCGTCAACCTGAACCGCAATGGTGTCTCAACTGCCTGGCTACCGCCAGTAAACCCTAAAACCCTAAAAGCCTAAACCCCTAAGCCCCTAAACCCCTAAACCCTAAACCCTAAACCCCTAAACCGTAGCCATTTTGGCTCAAGCCGACAATAAACACGAAGACCGAGTGAAACTTACATACGGTGAAGTGTCTGCTTGAAGAAAAATGGAGGAAGAAAGCCTACGCACCGTTGGAGTGTTCCAGGCGATTGCAAAGAAGGTAGCTCCCGTTGCCCCTGTGTCCGAAGAGGACCTTCAGATCTTAGACGGCCTTGAGAGTTCGATGTCTTTGGCAGGTCCGTTTTTTAGTGATAAGAGCGTGTCTCTCGAGACTATTTTCAAATTCAGCGCCAAACCCGCAATCGCATCTTTGGCTTCCTATTCGAAGCAGGTTTCAAGCCTCGATTTGACGCGACGCAACTGCATGGTCTATCGTCAGTTGTCGTCACTACTTGATCTCGAAGTTCACTGTCCTGTTTTGGAGTGCTTGGCTCCCGAAAGCTTGGAACTTGTCTATTCAGTAGGTGATGGAGCTGGAATCAAGGTGATAGAGAGCGCCGAGCTGTATCGGCTCGAGCATAACGAACGCGAGGCAGAAATGGTGAAACGAAATGGATTCCTAGAGTGGAAGTTGCTTACAGAAAAGTCACGCAAAGAGAAGATTCAAAAGGCAAACATTGAAAAAGCTAAGGCAAAAGAGAGTGAAAGAGAGAAAGCTGCGTCTGAGCTGGAGGAGCTCAAGGCAGAAATCGAAAGGAAGAAGCAGGAACTTGGTCAGCTTCCTCCGGAAGGCGGACAACCTCCGTGAGCGTGCTGGAAGCTGGGAGGATCTCCAAGCTAAAGCATGCATAGAACGCTCCTTGGATCAGATTCCTAATTAGAACATATCCAAGGTTCGTTCGGTCTTCGTTTTATAAATCATCATTTTGGCTCAAGTTGGGAGAGCCTAAACCCCTAAACCCAAAAAACCCAAGCCCCCAAAAGCCCCGAACCCTAAACCCTGACCCTTGAGGCCGAAGTGGGAGTCCCGTTGCCCCGTCGTCGTCCCTTGCTGCGACCCTGGCGCCTTTTCTCTGCCGCCTCCGGCTGCTGCCTGCTTGCTCCCTGACCCATGACTGACGAATCCACGGTGCCCATGGGTGGGGCCCCTCCTGACCCTGTCGCCAAACTTGCGGGGATTGCTTGCTTGCTGGAGCCTGATGGTGGGGGGGGGGGGTGGGCCTTCGAACACGGAACCCTTAGAGCGCCCTCCCATGGAGGTGGATGAGGGACGAGGGCGTGCGAGAGAAAGAGGGAGTGCACACCGTAAAGATCGGCATAACAATGACTTAGACAAGAAGCTTCTGCACGATGCGGCAAATGCAGCGGCGGCTTTGTCTGCCGCTCTTGGCGGAACGGCACCTACTCGCGGGAGAAGTGCGCAGCAGGCTACCGTCCCTGATGACGTAGGGGACAGCCTTGACAGTGTACGTAACCTGCATGAAGCAAGCCCAGAGAAGAAGCCTCGAATCACTTCCAAGATGCCCCAGGCCTCTGGCCCCGGTGCTCCCCGTTTTGGAGGCAACGCAGTTCCTTCCTATCCGCCCTTGTGGCACGGCAATCCAGGACCGGTTACGAGCATGGGCTCGGAAGGGCCTGCGCCTAGGACCGCCGGCCCCCCTGCTGAAGCCCCTCGATCGGGGCCTCCCCCGGAACACTTCCATCTTGATGAGCCGGCTTGGGTTGCGGGGTTACGTGATGACTTGCGTAGTCTGGCCCACAATCAACAGGACATGTCAGCACAACTCACCGAATCTGGTAGGCACTTGCAGGGAATCCGCAATGAGATTGCTCAGCTTGGCTCTGGACAAGAAGCCCTCACACGCCGAGCAGACGCCCAGGAACAGTCGCTGCAGCAGATGCGTGATGAGATGCGTGAACTTGAGAAAGAACTGCAGGCGCTTAAGTCCGCTCCCCCAACCCGTAGTGTCAGTCCGGCCCCAAATCGCGCTGGAGGACCCAGTACACCTCGCTCCGAAGGTCCTGGTGGTAGGCAATTTGGGGAGGTTGACGAGCTACAAATTGTAGTCGGTGGCTGGAACGAGTGTAAGAGGGAACATATCGAGCAGGATGTGCATGAAATCTTTGGCAAAATGGACGGGGACGCACTTGTTAAACAGATCTTCATCCCATATGTGCGCTGCGGGTACTGCCGCATTGAAATCAACTATCCAGAGTCGGACATCTGGAAGCAGCGCAAACTTCAGGGGGTTATCGTCCAAGCCATTAAGGAGCTTGGCTTTGTCTCCCGCTCCCCAGGCCAAGAGCGCTGTAAGTTCTGGGCGACCCGCAATCGCTCAATCCAGGACCGTGCTAAGGTGCGAGCGGTCATCTCAACTTGGGAGCTCTGTGTTCGCCACGTCGGCGAACTCTGTGCCGACAAAGATTGGCGTGGAAAGGTCTGGGTGAACTCAGTCCAGGTCCTGCATCACGTTGATGTGAGGTCAAGACCCGAGGACACCCTCATGCTCCTCGACAACAGGGGAAATGAGACAGGATGGTTTTTAGACCTTCAGCAAATTCAAGCGTGTCTCGGGGTTCCCAGGAGAGTCATTTTGGAACACTTCGGGGTCAGCGAGGAGGCAGGGAGGGGAGCAACACCGGCGAGCACATCTGAGGGTTTGTCTAGAAAGCTCTGCCTTTCTGGATATACCTGGAACTTGCATGGAAAGGGGATACAACATGTGTCAAACCTTTTGCACAACGTTGAACGACCTGCTGACCTTTTCTTTCTACAGGAGTTGGGGGACGCTAATCATGTCCCCTTGGGGTCCTCTCGTACCGATACGGACACCATTGCAGGACGGGAATACCAGGCCATAGTGGCAAATCCGCTGCTTAGCCATCGCTGTTCAGCAATTTTGGTTGTTTTGGATTGTGAATTTGTCTGCAAGCATGTGCATGTGCATGAATTTGGGGTCGTTGTGAGTGGGACCATGCATGATTCGAATTGGGTTCTTGCAAGCCTTCATTTTCCACATCAACAGCGGGCCGACGCGCCTGAGGTGTGGGAGCGAGGGGTCAGTTCTCTTTTGGGCCTCCTGTCGGGACTTCCCTGGCAGACTAATATCCTGATTGGGCATGATTTGAACCAGAATTTACATGCAAGCGTTGATGAATTTGTAGGCATGATGCATTACAGAGAATTCATTTTTCAGACGAGCCTCACACCCAGCCCGCCGCTGGGTAATACTTGGATCGCCCGTGGAAGTGCTTCTCCCATCGATTTCTTTTTGCATCAGGTTCGAGGGGCAGAAATGACCTTCCACAAGAGGGAAGATTATCGGATGGCACTCCCGTCCGACCACAACGCCGTAGGCATTGTGGTCACTTATAGGGACAAGACGACACGGCATGCTCGAAAGAGACCGCCTCGCACTTTATGTGGCAAATGGGTGCATGGTTTCTGGTGAGGCCCTTTGGGGGGAGCTGCAACATCAGCCTGAATGGGATGATGAGGCTCTCTGCAGGGCTTTCCGAGCTCCTGGGGTCTCCTCTAGACCCCCCAGTCTTCGATACCGAGACCCGGAGGAGATACGAGACCTCATCAAAGCTCGCGCCCGCAGCAAGGATGAGTGGCAACGTGCCGCCCTCATGCAAGAGATCCACCAACGGCGCACGGAAGCGAAAGCTACTCATAAGCAACATTTGCTTGAGGAGGCCCGAAGTTGCAACTGCCGCGCTATCGCTCACATGCGAGCGAGTGCTTCTGGGGGTAAGACGCAGGGTTCCTACATCCAACGATGCGGGGGGGCACAACAGGCATCAACGGATCTGTTCTCCTTCTATGAGAAGAAATACCAAGCCCTTGAAGCTCCGCCCTCGCAGGAACAGCTTGACGCCCTCACTACCCTGCATGAGTCACAGCCTGCTCCAGACGTCACAGTTGAGGAAATCTTTAAAGCCATGAAGGGGGCACGTAATGGTGTCAGCTCAGGGCTTGACGGCACTAATTATGAGGGCTTCCGTCACTTGCTTGGGCAGGACAAAAACAACCGCATCCCGCGGTACTTCAGTGAGCTAATACGAGGGACCAAGCCTCTCCCCGCTTCCTGGCGGAAAGGACGTATAGTCTTGCTTCCCAAGGTCCCGCGCCCGGCACAGCCCAAGGACCTGCGCCCCATATGCCTCACGCCTGTTCTGGGGCGCATTTTCTCTAAAGTGCTTATGAATCGTGTCCATCAGTTTGCGCCGCAGTACTCAGGCCACCAAATTGGCTGTAGGCCTGGAGTACAGGCCGCAGATGGGATTATGGCGGCGCAGGCGACACTGCAGCTGCTCAAGCAGGTCCGTGGACAGGCATTCGCTGCCAAGGTCGACATCAAAGCTGCGTTTGACAGCCTCAGCTTAAACGCAGTACTCAAGTGGCTTCGTAGTTGTAGGCCGGGGATTGAGTGTTCCCGTCTTTACCAACTCTTGTCGGGCACCTCGGTAGAGCTTTGCCTTGGGGGTGAGAGCAAGACGATTTCTCTCGACCGAGGCCTGATGCAGGGCACAGCATATTCAGCTGATGTGTTCAGTCGGGTTATGGATTTTTTCCTAGCCCCGCTGCATGACCAGTTTGACAGTGCATATGAGGAATGGAATCAGCCCCCCCTAGGCCTGCCACATTTCATCGTGTACGCAGACGACATCATCCTCTTTGCCGACTCCTCTGCCTCACTTCAGAAGAAACTCCAATCCATTGTTGATTCTCTCTCCGTTCTGGGTTTGGAGGTCAATCCTGATAAGAGCAGGGTCATGGCGAGCAATGATGGAGCAATCCCTGGGCTCTGGCTAAGGGGCAGAGCTGAGCCCCTTCTTGCAGAGGAGTCCTTGGTATTCCTAGGAGTGCCACTTGCTCACACGCACACGCCCCATAAGATCCTGACTCATATGCTCAGGAAAACAAGCAATGCATATTATGGCTTCAAGCGCCTGATGGATTCGGGGCATGCTCCCATTGGAGTACGCCTTTTGATTTTCAGCACCTACATAACGGCCAAGTGGGCCTGGTGCGCACCGCTTCTAATCCCAACCAAACAGGCCCTTCGGCGAATCGAGTCTGCTAAGAACACATTTTTATTATCGCTGTTCAGGCTCCCTACCGATCCGCTCCTCTCCTGGATAGGCAATACTATATCTAGGAGGCGCGCTGTGCGCTACCTCTGCCAAGTGAATGGTGGCCCCAACTGGCGCGCTGTGTGGCTCGGGCGGCAATGGGCCTATCTAGGCCACTTAGCCCGCACCCCGCATAAGCAGCCTATGAGACGGCTGCTTACCATGTGCCACAGCCGAAACATCGGAGGGACGCTGCAGGCGGGGTGGCTCTCTGACCTCTTGATTAGGAGGGTACAGAGAGTGTACTCGACCTGGCCCTGGGCCCAGTCGATTCCTTATTGGGATGAGTTCGCTCGTGACCGCACCCAATGGGCGAATCACTGCCACTGGTGGATCAGGCACTGGATTGCGCCAGATCCCCCTGCTAGCTTTGAGCAGCTGTTTAACAAACAACTCGTGATCTTGAAAGCAGCAAAGGGATTGTACGAGTGCTTCTTGAGACCTTCTAAGGACTTCACGGAAGTGCCTTACAGCACTCCGCTGCATGCCATTCGAGCTGCTAAGGTTACAGGCCCCTTCATTTGGGCAACTGCTCATAACGGACGGTGTGTCGTCATCTGTACGAAGGGCGCTGCTCCCGCACGCTCTGTGCTGGTTCACACGATGGCTCATGACCCTACCCTCTTGGCAGCCAGTGTCTGCGTACTTAGGCTAGCATTTAAAGTGCGGGGCATTCTCAACCACCGAGGCTTGCGCCTCCCGGTCTTTATGCCTAAGGAACTGTTGCAACGGGGAGTCTTTCATGGACATGTCCCCCTCGCACTCCTCACTGACGCCACGGAAGCATTGAATTTGCTTGACAGGCAAGGAATTGAGCATCTGCACCTGGAACCGAGGTTCAAACCGGGATCTCCTTGGTTGGCGTTCAGGGATGGACTCACCCTCCCCCCACTCCATACCAAATACCTCGTGCGCAACGCAGATTTTAGCCAAGCCTACTTCTGCGATGGAGCGCAGCAACTATCAGATGCACTCTTTGCAGTCTTCTCTCTCTGAGCCTTTTTCTCTTCAAGGCTAGGGAGGGGTAAAGACCCTCGAGGGCTTGGGGAGTGATTGACTCTTGGGAGGAGGGGGGGGGGCGGGACGGTCCTGTTATTCTAGTTGCCCAGTTCTTATAGCCCCTGCACACTTGGACCTGTTTAAGCATCGATGCCTTAGGTCATGATTGGTGCTGCAGGTTTTTGGCAAGTACTTGGGGACTAGCCGCGACTAGCCCTCCGCATATCAGGACCATGGCCTGTGCCCTAGAGAGACGAGCACTTGAGCTCCTCGAGCATGGTGAGCCCAGTTACCAGGATGCCTGCGCCCTAGCCCAACAGATGCTTGCAGTTTGTGAGGGACCCGTGGCTTTGGGTGCCTATGTTAGAGTCAAGGCAGGGATCCGACAGAACACTCATGCGTATCCTGAGACGACTCGCTTCTTTGCGAAATTTCTGGCAGATGAGTTCCCTGGGGACAGCTTCCTCACTCTCCAGATCCAGATGAACCGTAACAGGGAGCCGCACCGAGACCAGCAGAATGCTAGCTTGCCGTCATTGATATGCAATCTGTCCCCCTACAGCCCTGGAGGCACGTGGGTTGAGGACCCTGCAGGTACTCTGCCGCTTAAGTGCCCAGATGGCAAGGTTCGTGTTGGCACGGTCATCACAGGACGACGCTACCGCTTGAGTGCCAGGGACTTGTGGCATGCCAGCAGACCATCCATGGAAGACCGAATGCTTCTTCTTGGATGGACTCCTGCAGGCTGGCAACACATCCCACCCTCAGACATGGCAGGACTGTTGAGCCTAGGCTTTGTCGCGCCGCATGCTGAAGCAGAACAGCAGGGACAACTCTCTCGCTGGGGGCCGGACAGTAGGGTCCAAAGGAGTCTCGAATCCTTTGGTTTCCGACAACGGATTGGGGGTGGTTTTCGACAGAGGATTGGAAGTCGCCGACAGTGGGGCCCTGGTTGCCTCAAGCACGAGTCGACTGAGGTCATCTTTTGCATCTCTTCAGATGAAGAACAAGCTCAGGATGGCCCAATCTTCTTGGATTAGCCGTTCGACCCGGCGCATGCATGTTTTGAATTTGTCGAGCATGAATTTGTGCAGCATGAAGTGCCTCTCATACAGCATGTTGTGCATGTCCATTTTCATGCATGTACTTTTCCGTGTTGCCACTGCGGCTTGGTGCGAGTCTGTCGATATTTGTACTGCAGGGCGTTGCTTGTGTATGTGTTGCATGTTGCATGTTGTGCAGTTCCACATTCGGTGCATGAGTCATGTGCATGTTTGAATTTGAGCGGAATTTGGACTGTTGAGTGAATTCACGATTTTTCAAGTATGTTAGGCGCTGACAAGTCTGTCCCCAGATGCTTTCCTTTTGTATTAGGTAACTCCCTTAGAGCCATTTTGTCAGCAGGTGCGTGGCTGCCTAGAAAGACATTGGCTGTACGGTGAGTGTGCAACATGCTCCTCAGCCCAATGTGTCCTATGCCACCCCAGACGGTGCCAACTCAGGAGAGGCAAGGATTGATAACTCCTCTGCGTGAACATGTGAACAGGTCTGCTCGTTGTGCTTGGTTTGAGGTTGAGGGGTGCACTGGTTGCTTCAGTTGCTTGAGTTACTTGCCTGCGCTTGAACATTTTGGAAGCTCCTCTGTGCTGTAGCGTGCCACACGCCCTGAGACCCCAACCCCCGGACTGCACGCCGCTCTGTAACCCTACTCTGCCTTTTCCGGTAGCAATATTCCTGGCCCGAGTGACCTGAAGCAAAACCCTGCCCTTAGTACACTTCGGCTATGGAACCAGCCCAGATGACGATGGGCATTCAGGGACACACAGCACGTGGGGACGCCCCGCCCGGACATGCGGCCCTCGACGGTGCTCAGTACCTCATGGGTGGCATTCTTTCCATTCTTGAACAGAATGGAGTCAACCATGTCTATGCGGTGACAGTGGTTGTGGGCATTTTTGTGGCTTGGACTGTCATGACATGTGTCAAGTCAAGGGGCCGTGTGACGGGCCCCCTCCCCGCCACAACAGGTGTCCACGCACCGGACCCAAGCCTGGCTACGAAGACGGAGGCGCAAGTGATGCTGGAAAACATGATCCAGCACTTAGAAGGCCGCCTATTGCATGCCACCTCTGCCAGTACTGACGGAAGTGTTGCCACCATCACGATGTCGGTGGACACGGTGGTGGATGCGGTGGGGCAAGCAATCAACGCGAAGATGATGGAGCTCAAGCCCTTTGACAAGGTGATGGAAGCATTCTCCACTGCTACGAATTCATTGGATTCGGCAGAAAAGGAAGGGCTTAAGGAGCTCATCGGGCTTCTGAAGACGGTGGCCTCCTCTTTGGAAGCTACCCGTGAGAGCAGCCAGAAAGGTGCTGACCTGGCAGGGGCACAGACTAAGCAGCTGGACACGCTGCAGCAACTGCTGCACTCAGCGGGGCAGACCGAGCAGGCCCGCTTCGGAACGCTTGATAAGCAGATGAAGCAGAAGATGGATGCGCACCAGGAGGAGCTGCTTGGTAAGCTGAGCAGCTTCGAACAGACGTTCACGAAGGCGATGACGAAGCACGACACGGACCATGCACGTCTGGACGTACTCATCGCCAAGCTGGATGGAGTGGCCTCCAAGTTTGACAAGCTTCCGGATACTGATTCTCACGGGTCGAGGAAGAAAGGGCCCGCGCGGGAACATAAATACACACATGCGTGAAGCTAATCCCGAAGGACCCTTTTTCGAGACTGAAGCGTGATGTTGTGTTTCCAAGGATGAACCCATCCA